CAACATGTAGAAAAGAAAAAAAAGGCATGAGAAAAGAACTGCTTTACAAACTTTAAGACTTAATAAAAATAATTTATATTTTGCATTTGAAAGCATTGTAATGTTTATTGACAATCTGCCAAATTTCGTTAACATACACTTACTGATTTAAAAGTTATAGCATGAAAACTATTGCAAGCACAAAATGGTTACGAGGTCAGTTCCAGGGACCAAGCCTGTGCTGAAAGAGTTAAGAAACTCGCATATTTTTAGTCATAATATTTATTTAGCCATTTGTGGGAGCTTAAATTTTTCCAGTCCATTACTAATATATATGATCTGATAGGTTTAAGCTGTTTATGTTTTTTCATAAATACTTGAATACATAGCTTCAATGTTGCAGATGAAAGAATTAAACAAAATTATGGAAATTGAAATAGTTTTAGTACTACCATTTTTAAATAAGTTTTTATTAGAGATAATTATAATAGATCACTAATGAACTATTGAAATAATTTTGAATTAGTGATTATTCTGTACTTTATCAGTTGTCCTTAATTTTATTTTATTGTAAAAAGCACATAAAAACTTAATATGAATAATTTTATAATTTTTATCATTTTAACCTTTCTGTATTCAACAACAGAAAACAGTCTCTTATATATGAATAGAAGCAGGTAAGTTTATTTGAGTAGAACTGTCACATTATCAACATATTTAATTATTTGCCCCTTGTGGGTTTTTTTAAAATGTTTAAAAATGTTGTAACTATGGTTGGATTATGAAAGGTCAGTTAACATTAGCATACTAGAAAGGCTTTTATCAGAGGTTCTATATTCATATTGATGAGTAACCGCTAGTCAACATTATGTACCATAATTATGTCTATTTGATCTTGTAAAGGTGCGGAACCAGTGAACTTAAACTATATCTTCTTTTTATTCTCTCTTCATTTTTGTAGAGACTTATTGAGCTACTTGTTAAATATTGTACAAAAAATAATTGCTATTGAAAAGTGCTTGATAAATAATTTGGACAGATTTTAATCTGTAACTCATTAAATTAGTGTAGGATAAATTTTATTTCAAATTGTCATTATATTACTGGCAATATAGATTTTCTTACATAATTTGGTTTTCTAAAACATACGTGCCAGTTGGAAAATTATAGTTTTCAAGTTCAGAACTTTTGATTGTTAATTTATTCATAATTTATAAATTGTATAAGGCCAGGCATGGCTTAGTGCAGTGATTCTCAAAATATGGGCATGTCTCCTTAGGGAAGCATGAGATTGTGCCAGAAGAGATTTCAGTTGTATGTAATTTTTTATAAGAAAGGTTTAGTGGTAGAAAACAAGTTATTATAAAAAAAAGCAAATATCTTGCAAGGTAGCATCCCCTAGAAACTGCAGTTTTCCAGTGCATTCTCTCTAATCTTAAACTCTGAGGAGGGTCACTATGACAAAGTTTGGGAGCTACTGGCCCAGTGATTGCCAAACTTAGACTGTGAATCTGAGGATTCATGGTTTGAGACCCATTGCCTTGTAAAGACACTGCACATTGGGGTCATGGGTATGCTATGAGAGTGATAGTTAATTTTCCCTATTTGATCCAGCAAGAGTAACTTGATAGTTTGTGGTGGATGCTGTTAAGTAGCTGCATTCTCTCTCTATTCTATTAGTCCAAAATGAGGATATGCATATAACTCTTGTGTTGTCTTCCATGATTTACTTAAGCAGACAAACATAATATTTATACCTTGAAGTGACTCTCTTGCATAGAGAAATGTTTCAAGACCAAGACATATTTAAGCCTTAAAAAGTCCCTGATCAATAAGATGTTTGAATATACTACCAATAATTGAAATCATGGCAAGTCATCTGTTTGCATTTGAAATATGTTACTGAGTTGTTAAATAAATGCTCAGAGAAGCATCTTATATATTTTCCATACCTGAATCAAGTTTGGTAATGAGAAATACAATTTATAGACTGTGGATATTTTATCCTTATTTAAAACATTGTGCTTTGTGTTGTTTTTACTGCAGTAATAGGATTACAAGAAATATAGCTTAACTTCATATTATATATGATATATAACTCACAAATGGAAGTTTTTCAGGACAGATAATGCAATAAAAAACCACTGGAACTCAACTCTTAAGAAGAAATTTGAAAAAGTAGAGTCTTTGAAGGAAAATCCATATTGCAGGGGAAATATGTCTAATACAAATGTGATCAGTGAAGGTGTTCAAAAGGTGATTTATTTATTTACATGGTTATAAAGTACTTATAGTTTTATAAGTGTTTTTTGTTTGTATTTTTTAGGAATATTTTCATAAGTACAGTATTTAATAGTGAGAGATAGGGTTTCTTTTATTAAAAAAAGACCAAAACATTTTTATAGATGCTATTTTATGTACAGGTACACCACCGATTTTCCGGCATTCTTGGGTTCAGAGCCTTGCCGGATTATCCATTTTGCCGAACCAACAGAGGTCACGTAATAATAATTCAATATTACACCTCTGACCCACAAATTATACTTTGCTTCTTTATATTGTAAACAGTTGACGAACCAATACCATACGAATCACACAGTTTCCTTACGGAAACACCACAGTCGAGGTGTTTCTACAGTTCTACATTATCTTGTATTTATATGGACTTGTGCTTATGCTTGACACCATGACTGTCACTTGACCTTACTTAGAAGCCATAGCTAGGATTAAATGTAAGCAAAATAAGCTAAGAATCGCACAAAATTGAGGGATCACCACCACCAACTGCAGATGTAAACAATTAACTCTTTCAGGATGGAGGCACATGATGCCATCTTTAAATTCTTTCTGTTGACATAAATAAAAAATTGAATTAAACAATTTTCTTTAAATGTTTTTTCAGAAACAATTGTTATTTTCAAGTACATTATATTTTGAATTTTCATACACTATTATCAACATTTTGTGTTGTTAAAAATTGAAGAACAAACTGAAACTAAATATTTGTATCTTGTTAAATTACATATTCTTGGTAACATTCATGAAAAAATTCAAGCAATTTGATCCACTAGTTTAATATTTATGAGAAAAATTTCACGAGAGTGATGTACCTACTCAAAATGTAAGTAGCCCGTCCCGAAAAAATTTGCACCACACACAGTGCCATCTGTGGCTACCCATTGAACTAGTCTGGAGGTCACAGGAATTTCAAGTGCATTCTTGTAATTTTGTCCAGATTAAAAGAGGTGCCTGACCATCAGTTGCTGGAAAATTGGGGGTGTACTGTATATATATATATATATGTGTGTGTGTGTGTGTGTGTGTAATTATATTTCCTTTTGTAGAGAAGGAAAAAAAATAAATATATGTAAAATGTACCTCAAAATGCCAGGGCACATTACATAATGACCCACACTATCATTTATGCCCTGGTGTTGTATATTTGTTTTGTGGCTGCATTTTTATTTTTTGTCTATCATATTTTTTCATTTATCTATTTACTTTTTTATTTCTTCCTTCTCTACAAAATTATATCTGTGTATATTTCATCTGAGGTTTG